GCATGGCACTCTCACCTCCTCACAGTGAACTATCCCTTTACTGCATGGCACTCTCACAACCTCACAGTGAACTATCCCTTTACTGCATGGCCCTCTCACCTCCTCACAGTGAACAATCCCTTTATGGCATGGCACTCTCACCACCTCACAGTGAACTATCCCTTTACTGCATGGCCCTCTCACCTCCTCACAGTGAACTATCCCTTTACTACATGGCCCTCTCACCTCCTCACAGTGAAATATCCCTTTACTGTATGGCACTCTCACCACCTCACAGTCAACTATCCCTTTATGGCATGGCACTCTCACTTCCTCACAGTGAACTATCCCTTTACTGCATGGCACTCTCACCTCCTCACAGTGAACTATCCCTTTACTGCATGGTACTCTCACCTCCTCACAGTGAACTTTCCCTTTACTGCATGGCACTCTCACAACCTCACATTGAATTATCCGTTTATGCATGGCACCCTCACAACCTCACAGTGTACTATCCCTTTACTGCATGGCACTCTCACCTCCTCACAGTGAACTATCCCTTTACTGCATGGCACTCTCACCTCCTCACAGTGAACTATCCCTTTACTGCATGGCACTCTCACAACCTCACAGTGAACTATCCCTTTACTGCATGACACTCTCACCTCCTCACAGTGAACAATCCCTTTACTGCATGGCACTCTCACCACCTCACAGTGAACTATCCCTTTACTGCATGGCCCTCTCACCTCCTCACAGTGAACTATCCCTTTACTACATGGCCCTCTCACCTCCTCACAGTGAACTATCCCTTTACTGTATGGCACTCTCACCACCTCACAGTCAACTATCCCTTTATGGCATGGCACTCTCACTTCCTCACAGTGAACTATCCCTTTACTGCATGGCACTCTCACCTCCTCACAGTGAACTATCCCTTTACTGCATGGCACTCTCACCTCCTCACAGTGAACTATCCCTTTACTGCATGGTACTCTCACCTCCTCACAGTGAACTTTCCCTTTACTGCATGGCACTCTCACAACCTCACATTGAATTATCCGTTTATGGCATGGCACCCTCACAACCTCACAGTGTACTATCCCTTTACTGCATGGCACTCTCACAACCTCACAGTGAACTATCCCTTTACTGCATTGCACTCTCACCTCCTCACAGTGAACTATCCCTTTACTGTATGGCACTCTCACCACCTCACAGTGAACTATCCCTTTCCTGTATGGCACTCTCACAACCTCCCATTGAACTATCCCTTTACTACATGGCCCTCTCACCAACCTCACAGTGAACTATCCCTTTACTGCATGGCACTCTCACCTCCTCACAAAGAACTATCCCTTTACTGCATGGCACTCTCACAACCTCACATTGAATTATCCGTTGATGGCATGGCACTCTCACCACCTCACAGTGAACTATCCCGTTATGGCATGGCACTCTCACCACCTCACAGTGAACTATCCCTTTCCTGTATGGCACTCTCACAACCTCACATTGAATTATCCCTTTACTACATGGCCCTCTCACTTCCTCACAGTGAACTATCCCTTTACTGCATGGCACTCTCACCTCCTCACAGTGAACTATCCCTTTACTGCATGGCACTCTCACAACCTCACAGTGAACTATCCCTTTACTGCATGGCACTCTCACAACCTCACAGTGAACTATCCCTTTACTGCATGGCACTCTCACCTCCTCACAGTGAACTATCCCTTTACTGCATGGCACTCTCACCACCTCACAGTGAACTATCCCTTTCCTGTATGGCACTCTCACAACCTCACATTGAATTATCCCTTTACTACATGGCCCTCTCACAACCTCACAGTGAACTATCCCTTTACTGCATGGCACTCTCACCTCCTCACAAAGAACTATCCCTTTACTGCATGGCACTCTCACAACCTCACATTGAATTATCCGTTGATGGCATGGCACTCTCACCACCTCACAGTGAACTATCCCGTTATGGCATGGCACTCTCACCACCTCACAGTGAACTATCCCTTTACTGCATGGCACTCTCACCTCCTCACAGTGAACTATCCATTTACTGCATGGCACTCTCACCACCTCACAGTGAACTATCCCTTTACTGCATGGCACTCTCACCACATCACAGTGAACTATCCCTTTACTGCATGGCACTCTCGCCTCCTCACAGTGAACAATCCATTTATTGCATGGCACTCTCACCACCTCACAGCGAACTATCCCTTTACTGCATGGCACTCTCACTTCCTCACAGTGAACTATCCCTTTACTGCATGGCACTCTCACCTCCTCACAGTGAACTATCCCTTTATGGCATGGCACTCTCACCTCCTCACAGTGAACTATCCCTTTATGGCATGGCACTCTCACCGCCTCACAGTGAACTATCCCTTTACTGCATGGCACTCTCACCTCCTCACAGTGAACTATCCCTTTACTGCATGGCGCTCTCACCTCCTCACAGTGAACTATCCCTTTACTGCATGGCGCTCTCACCTCCTCACAGTGAACAATCCCTTTACTGCATGGCCCTCTCACCTCCTCACAGTGAACAATCCCTTTACTACATGGCACTCTCACTACCCCACAGTGAACTATCTCTTTATTGTATGGCACTCTCACTATCACAAATCGCACTATCAGTTTACTGTACCTCACATCGAACAATCCTTGTATTTTTAGACAATATCACTATGTTATATGGCTTTATCGTATCTCACCACCACAATATCGAAAATCGTACTACATTTATGTTGCATCGTACTGGTCACACCAGACTTGTCATCACACCTATTCAAGACTTAGGAAAACGACTATACTGTGTATTTGGTATAAGCTGAAGTGGACTGTTGAGAATGTTTTCTACGCCTGTAGAAACCAGGTGGTATACAACAGTCTCAGACAATGGGAAGGCCCAAGCTTATAGATACTGAAGGGTTATTAATTGAGAAATGCAGCTAAAATGAAATAACGCTACCATTCAGCAATGATGTGTTCGATGTAAATACAATACAAATGAGTCCAGTGAATCCGAGCTTCCATTGTAGCAGGAAATGGCTCTGTCACGGAGCGCTCATACAACGCTGGGTATCGTTTGAAACCTGCAATATCTAAGGTGGACATTTTCAGCATACATCGTTTGATGACGCGGCCACATCACCGTGACATTACCAATAGTATACATACCATTAACATGTAGGGATCCATGTATATACTCGCCATGTAGGTGTGTTATAAAGTCTGTGGCCTACATGGCGGTGCTGGTAAATGTTAACAGTGACGGAGCGAGATGTTTTCACTGACAACACAGGCTTCCATTTGCAACCAACCAACCCTTGTAGTTAGAGATATCAAGCGTATATAAGTACGGTCTGACGACAGTAAATCGGTAAACTGTCTGGCTTTATCCGTCTGGTATCGAGTAACTAATGACTGTGCCGAGACCATACATATAAAGAATCTATTAAGTCGCGATCTTGTTTCATGGTCCAAAATAGATGTATATTCGAATACGGTAAATGTAAGAACTGCAAACGGTTTGCAATTGAAGAATATCACTTCATATGATTTAAAACCTGTTGCTTGATAGCAACATAAGGAAAACACTACTCCCTGTATGTAAATGAAACCATTGACCATATTTATACATTGTATGTTTCAGAGATTCTATGACCATTCTAACTGGAGTTATTAGCAGAGGGACCCGTGAAGATCCGGGGGAAGAATAGGTCTTCAGCAACCCATGCTTGCCACAAAAGGCGACTATGCTTGTCATAAAAGGCGACTAACGGGATCGAGTGGTCAGGCTCGCTGACTTGGTTGACACATGTCATGGGTTCCCAATTGCGCAGATCGATGCTCATGCTGTTGATCACTCGATTGTCTGGTCCAGACTCGATTATTACAGACCGCCGCCATATAGATGGAATATTGCTGAGTGCGGCGTAAAACTAAACTCACTCACTCACTCATTAGAAGAGACGAGTGTGCAGGTCAGAGAGGAGGTGAGGGGCCGTCATTACAAACACAGACTGAATTCCAACACTAATTCTGTCGCCGCATACATTACTAGTGACACAGTCTAATTCATTTACCTGTTAAAATCCATGCACTAATATCAAGGCATTAACCCTCTCTGAGCTTACATCTCAGCCACCAACCTTTGATCGGTTTGATGGATAGAGTTACAGATGGTAGACACATTGGCTAAAGTCATGTTTGCTGATACTGTTGTAACCAATGGTTACAGACACTGCTGTAAATAATGGCTGACTGAATGAGTATGGTTTTACGCCGTTTTTATCAATATTCCAGCAATATCACGGCAAGGGACACCAGAAATTGGCTTCACACATTGTACTCATGTGGGGGATAGAACCCGGCCTTCGGCATTTAGTGGTGGGTCTCTGACTATTGTAAAAAAGCTGATTAACACTTTATGTTAACAAACGCCAGTGCTCGGATTAATAATCACAGCAGAACCGCCGTAGATTTATATCAAACTAACTAAAGTATATCATTTTCTGTCTTCTCGTATGTGTAAGTGCCAGTATTCCTTGAATTTAGGGCTGCTTACGACGCCGAGACTCTGACTCTGTTTCTTTGATCAATACGGGGCGGTGGGGTAGCCTAGTGGTTAAAGCGTAGGCTCGTCACGCCGAAGACCCGGGTTCTATTCCCCACATGGGCACAATGTGTGAAGCCCATTTCTGGTGTCCCCCGCCGTGATATTCCTGGAATATTGCTAAAAGCGGCGTAAAACTAAACTCAGTCAGTCAGTCTTTGATCACTACCGTGTATGTTTTGTATGTCTGCCTGTCTGTGTACCTAAAACATCAATATAACTATATCCAAAGTTCATGTAATATCTGTGGAATTGGTGCTTAAACCACTGGTAAACTTGTTCGTTCGGGTTCTCTTTTCTTCCTAATATGGTGTTCTTGATAAAGCGTGCACACTCTGGGTGAATACACTTCATGGCAGTGACTCTTGGACGTCGCTCACTCACTCCGCACGCACTTACTCACGCAAGCAGTCACTGACATGTTCGGACAGGTCCCGCCCATGTGTCTCGCTTCTTATCTAGATGGCCAGTTTGTCTTCCGAGTCAAAATCCAGACAGGGTGAGTTCGAGTTGTTCAGAGTGACATTGTACATCTTTCTGTTTGTTCCCAATATGCACTCAAGACAGTGTCTATCTGAATTACTAACTCTGTGTATCTGTTATATGAAACGACGACCGGTTACATGTACAGCGGACCCGTATTGAGGGCCTCTCCAATGCAACTGCACACATGTGGTAGGTTGCCCTGATTATCTGTGCATGTGACAAGTGCACATGTTTCTGGTTAGTCGCACTCTCTTATGTTTAAAAAAATAGCAATCAAATCGTGTACGTTAGAGAGCCCATGAAATATGGTGGCCAGCGACAGGAATGAAACAGTCAGTAGTTTGATTAAGGCTTCTAGAGAGTGAAGAGCCTGAGAACACTAACACATGACGTGACCTACCTACGTGGCTTATCAGACACTGCCAATACATGTAGGTTGGGCTTTAGCCTGCTGTGGACAATGTCACAGCTATGCTGCTGTGGGTAGGCTGATAACAGCACATTGTACAGTACAGGATAATCCATTCCAACCCTAATCGTCAATCTTTAACCATCAAACTACTCAGCCTCAAAAACTCGTAGAGGGATGGCTGGTAAATTTGCAGTGCAACGTTCAATAAACGCCTCGTTCAAAACACAAAAATTGTTTCTTTTGGTTTCAAAACTACAAACAGACATTGTTGCGTCTATGCCAAACAGGATGGTATTTTATAGCTGGTGCATGCATCTGCTGGGCGTGTGAGATCACAGTAGTTTCAGTGTCAGTACAATGTTGATACCATAGGCGCTTTTCTGTGTTAATCAAAGGGAAGTAACTCTGGTATGTAGTTGCCCTCATCAGGTGGTATGAAATTTAGGATGATTAATAAAAAAAACCGGGGAGCCGGCATAATACCCCTCAATCGTGTGTCAATCATAGTGTCTTGGCTAGCTAGTAAAAACGATACATATAGAAATGCGTCAAAAAGATGGGATTCTGTGACGTAAAAAAACAGGTACAGATGCGCCCATAAAATACGTATTTGATGGTGCTGAACGTCCGTGTATTTGTAGTGTGCACTTTCTGATACAGCCCGGACCTTCAACTGTACATGTGTTTACTTTCAGATGCTGGCCTTCTTACTCTTTGTGCTTGCTTTGTCACCTCGAGCCATAACAGGTACAGCAATGCTCTCCATTTGTCGTCTTTATTTCTTCAATTTACATACTTCCCAACGATAAACCAACGAGTTTCAGTATCTATAGATATGGTCTAAAACATGTTAAACTTCTTGATTTTCAGTTTAGATTTTTACATGGAGTAATATATTCCAAAAGGGAGCTTTTGAAAATGAAACTAGTAGATTCTGTCATGTGCAGTTTTTGTAATGACCTACAATCTGTCATGTATACTGGAATTGTAAGGAAACCAAGACTTGTTGGAATGAGCTTGAGATCTGGATCAATTCATATCTCAATAAAGAAATCAAAATATCAAAATATCCGGTTAAGTTTGGTCCTTCACAAGCCAACAAAATACTAAACCATATAATTTTCTCTGCAAAGAGACATATCTATTTATGTGATATCAAAAAAACAATTTCCAAATTAAATAACTATCTGAAAACCTTAGAATTCATCTTTCTTGCAGAAAAAAAAAAAATTCTATAAGAAATAATGCTTTGGAAAATTTTGAAAAAAATGGTTTCACTTTCAACCCATTTCTCAATCATTGACTGTTCAACCACCCTTTAGAAGCTGGTTGTGTCAACCTATCTTACTTGTATATTAAAGCCGCCATATAGCTGCAATATTCCTGGGTGCGGCATAAAACTTAACTCACTACTTGTATATTGCTTTTGTTACTGGGGTAGCAGAGTAGCCTAGTGGCTAAGGCTTTGGCTCGTCACGCCGGGCTCTATCTCTCGTGTACTGTCTGTGGGACTCGTTTCTGGTATCCCACTCCATGATATTGCTGGAGTGTTCCTAAGAGCGGCGCTAAACCATAATCACTCACTCACTTCTGTTACAATAATATGTTTGTGTATATGTAACTATGGGAATGAATAAAAAAAAATTAAATATTACCTCACTCAAGCAAGCGTTATTTTCATAGAATTAGACTTTATTATTTACAGCCAGCCTCTTATAGCTGGAATATTGTTGAGTGCGGCGTTAAACAACAAACATTGAACAATTAATCATTTTGCATAAATTAAGTTTTAGATAAACCTATTTAATCCGTTTCACTAGGACATTATTCTGGTATTCTGTTTTATCATAAAAGCTAAATTACCTTTTCCCGCTGCATTGTAGTAAGGTAACAAGCGAATGAACTCAACCCGTTGAAAGGTATGACGATAACATGTGGATCTCCCTCTTTGTCCTTCTTAGTTTCCACAATAATGACCTATCCTTCTGCACTAACCTGTCTGTGTTGACAACGTCACTGTTTGTACAATTTCCTTTTGACATTGTGGTCAAAAGGAATTATTAACCCCATTCCTAAGTCGTCCTCAAGGGACCCACTAGCGTACAGGGGGATAACTCTTGCTCCGGTGATCTACAAGGTGTATTGTGGCATACTGAATACATGTCTAATGGAGTGGACAGAAGGCAACAATATACTCAGCGACGAACAGATTGGCTTCAGGAGGGGTAGATCCACATTCGACCATATCAACTCTATGACGTCAATGATTGAGAGTGGAAAAGAATCCACTTTCGCCGCATTTATTTACTTTAAGAAAGCGTATGATGGCATAAACGGGTGCAAACTCTGGAAAAGATGGTGTCAAAGGTAGAAAGTTTCGATCAATATCATCCCTGTACAGGAATGTACAGTGTTCTGTACGAATCAGTCGTGTGAACAGTACATCGTGGTTCAAGGTTAACAAAGGGTTGAAACAAGGATACCTACTCTCCCCACTTCTATTTAAGTTGTATACAAACGACCTTATAATGAGAATAAAAGCAATTGGAAAATGTGTGTAAATAGGCAGTGAAAGTGTTATCATATTAGCATATGCTGATGACGTGGTTCTACTGGCAGAAAGTGATGACGATCTAAAAGACATGCTATCTACGTTACATGAATGGTGTAACAACAACAACATGATCATCAATCAAGACAAATCAAAGTTGTTCATTTTCGAACTCCCTCAGTTCAAAGCTGTGAAACCATTTTCCTTTGCGGTGAATCCAGACTAGAAGTATGTGAAAGCTACCACTATCTAGGAGTTTTGCTGACTGAACATTTGAATTATAATAGCATGACGAAAAATGCAGTGAATTCGGCAAACAGAGTTCTAGGGCTTCTCATATCGAAATTTAAGTCTATGGGTGGAATGCTTTTAATGTGTGTACCAAGCTCTATGATACTATGGTATGGTCAAATCTAAACTACAGTGCACCTATATGAGGAACTAACGAGTATTCTGAAGTCAATGCGTTACACCACCAAGCAATCTTCCTAGGACTCGGGGGTATACACCAAATGCAGCTGTGAATGGACAGAGTGGATGGGAGACATGGTCGTCACACAGCGATTGCAGCTAGCAGTCTCTGGACCAGGATGAGGAACACGCCACAGAGACGTCTTAACAAGCGTATTTCCATGTGGGCTGCAGACTGTGTAAAGAAAAATTGGAACCATAGAATAACCTATCAACTACGAAAATCAAACGTTTGACATTTATGCCATACAGCTACATCCCTTGAGAGTAGACGTTTATCTCAGTGTGTTAGAAATAGTGCGTTAAGCCATTACAAGGACTCATGGACCGATACATTAGCGGTTGATCAATCTACACGTCATAATGGAGGGAACATACAGAACATTCAAGTCCGACTGCAAAGAAGAAGCCTACCTGAATCAGCCATTACCCAGAACTCACAGAAGTGCCTATGCCAAGTTCCGGTGTGGAGTAGCTCCTCTCCATAGAAACAGGAAGATATCAAAATATACCATGTTTTGTTCATAACTGTTCATATTGGGATGAAGATGAGAAACATGTCTTATTGTTCTGTCCTTTATACGAGGAAATTAGAGTTACTCTTTTTAATCAGTGTGAGCGAATTTTACCGAGTTTTTATGATATGGCGCCTTGCCAAAAGTTTATACATATTTTATCTTATCCTTATCTCTCTTTTAATGCATCCAAGGCCTGCCATGATATTTTAGCCAAGTGACGCCTGCTTTTGTACAGGTAGATTTATGTACCTTTGTATATACATGTGTAGTTATATTTTGTAATGTATATTTTATGATATTTATATCATCCTATATTTTTGTCTTTCATAAATCACTTCGTAGAAGTATTAATTTTGTTTTTATATGTATAACATTGTATGCAATTTTTATGCTTTATGTACTCTACGAGTAAAACGTTGATAAAATCTTCTTCTTCTTCTTCGTCTTCTTCTTCACAATGGTAGCCTATCCTCTTGCACTAACCTGTCTGTGTTTACAACGTAACGCTTTGTACAATATCCTTTTGACATTGTGCAGGTGTTGGTCTGGACCTGAGTTGTTTCGGGAAGACTGATGGGTTCTACCCCAGCCCCATGGCCTGCGAGGAGTACTATGTGTGTACCACTGGCAGACTCTACAGATTCACGTGTCACGCTGGTCAGTTGTTTAACCCTCGGACTGGCAGTTGTGACAAGTCACATAATGTCCAGTGTAACGCTGCCCGACCGGTCAGCCTTCAGACCACTCAACAAATTACAGGTATAGTATAACAACACATCATATCAGACCTGTGAACATGGAATTGGTCTTCAGTAACCCATGTTTGCCGAAAGAGGCGGCTAACGGGATCGGGTGTTCAGATTCGCTGACTGGGCTGATATATGCCATCGTATCCCAGTTGCGTAGATCGATGTTCATGATGTCAGTCACTGAATTATTTCGACCACACTGGATCATTCAAATAGCTGGTTGTAGCGTTTAACAAAAAACATCAGAAGTTAGCTCTCTTATAATCAGAGAACTATATCCAATGACGCCAACATCAGCTGCCCTGCTGTAACCGACGTAGTGAATGACAATCCTTAATGCTGTCCTCGAATAACCATTGTATTATATTTTATACACTACTTTCAGAACGATATTGCTTCATAAATTCGCCTAAGAGTGTACAAGCAATACGATGTTCAATTCGCTTGTAATCCTAACATACATAGCCAAACACATCTATCTTAATGGTTTTTATACCTGATGTGTTTATCATCTGGCTCAAGTACTGATCAAAATTATAGCAGTAGTAGTCGTTTGTCATTGTCGTGTTTTGTTTGGCAAGTGCTATGTTGATTAGTCCAAGTCTTCTTTGTTAAGGGTCCTTCTGTCTCGGGAAGCCAGATAACTTCTACCCAAGCGCTGACTCATGTGATCGTTACTACATCTGTGCCAACCAGTCAGCCATCCCGGCCACCTGTCCTTACGGCCTGCTCTACAGTCCGACCAAACAGTACTGTGACTTGCCTAGCAGGGTGTCATGCCTGCCTGGTCAGACTGTGCCGCCATACACCACACGTGCACTTCCTACCAGATGGATCCAACCGACCAGAGCAACATATAAACCTGTCACACATTTACCTCCCTTGACAGTGTCCGCGACATCATCAGGGTACCCGGGAGGGTCCACTCTGCGACCTTCACTCAACCCCCCGAAGGACTACATCAGTAAATGAAAGAATTTCTACATGCGTTAATGTCATCTTGTAACAATAACTGTATTATTGTAATGATACGTTTCACAAATAAGTACTTAGTATTTCAATCTCTTAAGGGATGGCTATATGCAATAGCTCAGACACAATATCGGTTAATGTATGTGCGTGTAGTCAGATACTATCCTGCGTCCTTTCGGAATATGTATTCTTCCTACAATTGTCACTTGGCGAGATGACATATATATTCGTTTTCTACTAGATTTGTTTAATAACATGATATTTACATCCACAAACTTCAAACATGTAAAGCAGTATGATAGCCCGACATCTTCTTTTCCAGCCCTCTGCAGCAACAAGCCCAACTCCGTGATGGCAGCTCCTGGTCTGTGCGGCCAGTATGTCCAGTGCCTGTACCGGATGGCTGTAGTGAGGATCTGTCCGACCGGCACGGCCTTTAACCAAGTCATACAGGCGTGTGACTACTCTGACAAAGTACCTGGCTGCCACTGAACAAACTGTACCGCCACCAGGTTTGGGAGTTGTACAGCTGTACCACATCCAAGTATAATAAAATACAGCTTAGTTACCAAATGGTGTCACCCCAAGATCGAATACCCCCCTAGTTTGTAATAGTATATTAGCAATGTAAAAGAACTCTAGGCCATTTTTCTTCTACGTCTCCAACGAGATAATCTGTTTTCGCCATTTCTTCGGGGAGCGGGAGTCCGACACTCCACCAGTACCATCAGATGGAGGCTGCGGGCTGCTGGTCTGATGGAATGCCCCCGTCCACACAGACAAACACAGACATGAACGTCTTCGTGATGCAGACCCCGACAAAAAGTTCAAATAGAGGACATGGCGCAGGGTTCATTGATCTGATGAAAGTCGTTGTCTTGTACACGTTACCGACGGCCGACGTTGCGTAACTTATGACTGCAAGTTGGATCTCGTTTCAGTACCCGGGACACTCATTGGCCAATGGTATCAATGATACTGGATATCGCCGTCGTGCTACGTTTTGATAACCATCCACGTGTCATCGTCCGTTTTTCATTTCTCGAGCCGTCAAGGCCTATTTGCAGAACAACGCCATCGAAACACAGGAATTTGTTATGGGTAATCGTGGACGGCATGTCCGGTTAGACATCCTCCAGTTAAAAATCTGCAAGAATTGACGCAGGCACTCCATGGGGATGTTAAGAGTTGATTATCAGAATGAGGTGGCTGGCAGACAATCAATAAAGACAAAATTATCTGAATTATGTTCTTGATTCAAATTTATTGTAATTCTTATTACAATTTCTCGCGTTCATTGGACTTGTGGCAGCGACTGGTTAAAAGATAAACATTTTATATGACGAGGCGGTACGTTTTAGGTTCGAGTCGACGGTGTTGGAATGGAAAAAAAAGTTTTTCGGGGGGGTCAGTAATAACATTAGAACGGTCGGTCGGGCGATGAGTAACACAGAAAATATAAATGCTGCCCTTTTTGGACTTATCGTATCAATAGCAGTGGGTGGTGGTGCGTGAGTAATCCTCTGTATGTCTGTGTGTGACATTCTGTTTCATGCATGGGTTTTGTACATACTCTCAAACTGAAAACCTTGTGTATTCACTATTGCATGTACGCCCTATGTAGTCATTGGACATGTACAATAAAACAAAACATGAGTATATGGGAAGAATGAACAAGGTTTACAGCAGGCTTCACTGACCTGTGTTGTCACACTTAAAACATATGGAGCCGGTCCCTCCGTCATTGTTACCTATGTGATCACATTGAAACATGACCGCCTCCGTGGTGTAGTGGTTAGAGCGTCCGCCCGGAGAGCGGAAGGTCGCGGGTTCGATCCCCGACCGCGTCATACCAAAAGACGTTAAAATATGGTACTTGTTGGTCCCTGCCTGGCGCTCGGCTTTAATGGGTACAACAATTGGGACTGGTCGGCTCGGAATCAGTATAATGTGTCTGAGTGGGGTATTCATGCTTCACTGCGGTATGGTATCTCAGTGGGCTAGCACTATAAAAAACAGCTTCAGTCTGGGCTAGTACAAGCAGCCGCACATACACATACACACGCATGCATGTCGTCATATGAACGAAATATCTCAAGCACGACGTTAAACTAATACCTTCTAACATACCTTTGATAGTTTTTAAATAATTCATAAAGGTGGGAGGGTAACGTTTCTTTTGGCGTGTAGTGTAGATTCCTTTCACTATAACCTTCATAAACCTATTCAGATGTCCATTTTAGTATGCTAATAGTATACATAGGACTTACATATAAACGTTATATACATGTAACATGCCTGTGCTTACCTCTCAACCTTTTGTCATTTATCGTGTTTATGTATTCGAGTTTATTCATTCGTAAACATCAGACATTAAAGAAATACCATTGGGGTAATGTTTGTGTCGCTTTTCATGTTGGCCATGAGGCTGAATGGTAATGAATAGGATCGCCACAATAGTCCCGGTTAGAAGTGTAGTTGTGTTTATCTCTAATGTTCAGCAAAACAAAAACATCATTTCCACAATCATAATAGATATATGCCAGACTGAGCGCTTTCAAAATGTCAGGAATGAATCACAACCAGCGAGGACATGGATGTTCAAGGAGCAGTGGGACTCTTGGCCAAAAGCAAGAACAGTGCCTGTAGAATCTCTCAGCAGCAGTAAAAGTGTCAGATAATAATTAGTGTGACACCTCCCACCTCCAGACATTCTTGTCGCTTTAGAACTAGCTACAGAATGTTTAGGTTACTAAGAAGAAGGTTTACCCCACTGCTTGGCTCACACAGTCCACGTCTAAGATACGAGGACGGAGGTTACAAGTATCCAGATTGAGATTAACAGTTACTGTATTAATTACATGATAATGGTGCAAATTGTGAACAATTTATTGTACATAAACAAAGGGACAGGGTTCAAAGCACGAATATGAACATGGACTTTGGAAAGTTATATACTTATATACATAATGTAACTGAAATATTACTATATTACTGTCAAGAGAGCAGATGTGTATTTCCTCAGGATGAACATTTTGGAAATGTGTAGCTGATACAACAATAAATGTGGATCAGTCATCAGAGGAAACAGCAAAGAGCGACAATGGAGACAGACAGACAGACAGATAGTTTATTTAAGTCTCACCTCATTACATAATCAAACGTATATCAACACAAAACTTAATAGAGTTACGGGAGAGTTGCTCTTCCTAGAGTGACATGGAGAGTGTAACAACCATTTTCAGTCAACTCTGATCCGCACTTTGTCCGGGATGTTCCCATTTCGTCTACATCCCATTTCGCCGACATTCCAATTCGCCTACATCCCATTTCGCCTACAGTAATTGAGGATGGCAACTCATCCACCCCTCATTCAGTGAATGGGATGGCCCACATTTCCTGCTCAGTGTCGTCAAAAGAATATGTTCACTGTTTTGTTTTGTTATTTTATTAATTAAAGTGGTTTGTTGCTTAATAACGCAAATTACTGTAATAGGTTTGTGATCAAAGTCACTTTATATCTATGTTGATAAGATTTGTTGTTTTAATAAAACCTTAATAAAGTGGCTACTCTCAGGCTTCCTACTCAATGTGCAATTTTGTTATGTTCTCTTCTCCGTGTACTGTTGTTTTAATATAAAGTATATCAGGGATGTGAAATGTTGTTTGTGATGTCAAAATGGCAAACGCATTTCTTCAGAGTGTAGAATTTATTACGAGACAGAGAGGCGGGCAGCAAGTTCTATATGATGGATATCGCTATCGACTGAATGTGAAACGTCAGGTGGCAACACACAGGATGTTCAGACAGGATGCAAGGCACGTTGCAGTACCATAGGGGACCACGTCACCATTGCATCTGACCACTGCCATCCCAGAGAGAATGAAGATCATACGCGTCTTCTAAGCCAACTCCGTGAACGTGTGCAGACCGACATCACTCCAGTTCAGCAGATCTACAATGATGAGCTGAATGCAGCTGAAGACGTGAACGCAGCAACCATGCCATCCTTCAACAGCTTGAAGTCCGGACTGTATCGACAGCGAAGCAAGTGTATTCCACCTCTTCCCCAGTCTCGAGCTGAGGTTGATCTGCAAGAACCTTGGACTCAGACCCTAAATGGCGACCACTTCCTGTGCATCGACGACGGTGTTGACGACAAGCTGCTAGTACTTGCTACAACTGATATGCTAGATATTCTGAGTGAGGCAGAGACCCTGTACATGGATGGTACTTTCTTTACATGTCCCAGTTTGTGGGCGCAGGTTTCCATTGTGCATTGTATGGTGGACGAGAAAATGTACCCTCTCGATTACAAGGACCAGAACCTACCAGTCCGCTCACATGGTGAACAGAGTTGGTGCCTTGCCCCTGCTGCCTTTTGGTGAAATCCACGATGCCTGAATGGCTGTAATGGATGCAGGACCCAACACTCCATCCATCCAGCGATTCAATGACTACGTCACCGCCAACTGGGTGGACTACGACGCACGCTTTCCAAGAGAGGTATGGAACCAACATGAAACTATTGGCCTGAGAACTAACAACCACTTGGAAGGCTTCCATCTGGGACTAAAGAAGAGGTTGAAGAAGTCCCATCCTAACCTCTATGAATTTGTCATGGAAATCAAGAAGATTGAGTCAGCTGACCGACGATTTCACTTGCAGATAGACCATGGTGCTGGAGTCCGCTCATGTCCTCGCAAGTACAAGGAACTGGACGCTAGACTGACTCGCTTGAAGGACAGTGCTGCAGTTTCTGGACGCAGCTGGACATTTAATTAAACTGCAAATACATTCAATTTGTTGAGAACAATGATATGAACTTGATATCTTCAATGACTTGATATATAACTTGATATATTTGTGCTTATGTGATTTAATATAACTTGATATGTTCAAGGTTATGATTATATTATTTGATATATACTTGAGATATTTATACATATATGCTATTAAAACGGTCAAACCAACTCAACCCGACTCACAAGTTTGTTTCTCATTATTTGGGGTAGTCCATTAAAATACAGTGAACAGCATACAAATCCAATGTTCACTCAAGTGTAAATTTGTTTTGATAAGGGTGTAGGCGAAATGGGATGTAGGCGAAATGGGAACAAGCCCTTTGTCCGAGCAAACTTAACTCACTGAGCCGCTGTGCTGACAACCTGCATGACTATTAATCCGTCACGTCAAACACCTCGTTCATGTATGCTATGACCGGATTTTCTGGAATGTCCAAGTATAAATTGGAAAACAGGTACCCCAACAAATACGTGATGACAGTGTTTACGCAGCTTAGTTATTCATGCATCATGCCATATATCAAGGGCATGCGTATGAACGGTTTGTATATGTTCATGTTACCGGTGCTCAAACAAGATGATCATGTGTTTCCGTCATTCGAAAAACATGTACTTAGTTCATGCAACTTCATTTTGACACATTGTAGTACGTTTTGAATCAACGTTCATCAGAGATCTCATTAATCTCATCACCTACAGAATCTGGCACAGAAAGCAGTATTATGCAAGCTAACACGTCTTTTTAAATTGCATTTGCTCTTGCTACCAGTATCAGTTACGCCTTGTGTGCACCGTTGGCAAAGGTTCTTGTTTCGAGGGATTAAAAGGTGGTGTTCTCTTTTTGCCTTCAGGTTTTGTTTAGGGATTAAAATCAGTGGACCGTACTAATCCTTAGAACACTGGGGATTAAGGCTATAGTCTGTATTAGAAATGCAAGTATTCCAGCAAATTAGGAAAAACGGTAAAGTTTATCGGGCCGCTTGCGAGGATAAAGGGGCAGCGCAGCGCCCTTTTAATGGTGTATTCTCTTTTTGCCTCATATTCGTGTATTTGTTGATGTTATATGCAATATTAGTAAAATTTAAATGTCACCATATTTGTCAAATGATTCTTATTCGTATGTACATTGTATTTGCGGGTGTTATACATAAGCAAAATGTGATAAACTTTACCGTCTCTCCTTATTTGCTGGCATACTTGCCTTTCTAATACAGACTATAGCTTTAATCCAAGTGAAATTTATTACATTTGCCACTCTAATATGCAAGTAGTGTTTTGGGACTTATCAATAACAGTGGGTGGTGGTGCGTGAGTAATCCTCTGAACTCACTATTGCATGTACGCCCTATGCAGTCATTGGACATATACAATAAAACAAAAGATGAGAAGAATGAACAAGGTATACAGGATGCTTCACTGACCTGTGTAGTCACACTTA